AGCAAATATGGAAAACACAGCAGTGGCCATAGGACTGGAAAAGATCAGTTTTCATTCCAATCCCAAAGAAAGGCAATGTCAAAGAATGTTCAAACTACCCCACAATTGCACTCGTCTCACATGCTAGCAAAGTAATGCTCAAAATTCTCCAACTCAGATTTCAGCAATACATGAATTGAAAACTTCCAGATGGTCAAGCTGGATTTAGAAAAGGCAGAGGAACAAGAGATCAAATTGCCAACATATGCTGGATCATAGAAAAAGAGAATTACAGAAAAACATACTTCTGTTTCATTGACTACGTTAAACACTTTGACTATGTGGATCACAACAAACTCTGGAAAATTCTTCCAGAGATGAGAATACCAAACCACCTGACCTGCCTCCTGAGAAATCTGTATGCAGGTCAAGAAGCAACAGTTAGAACTGGACATGGAACAACAGACTGGTTCCAAACGGGAAAAGGAGTACATCAAGGCTGTATATTGTCACCTTGCTTATTTAACTTATAGGCAGAGTATATCATGCGAAATGCCGGGCTAGATGAAGCAAAAGCTGGAGTCAAGATTGCTGGGAGAAATATCAATAACCTCAGATATGCAGATGACACCACTGTTAATGGCAGAAAGTGAAGAGGAACTAAAGATAAAGAGCCTCTTGATGAAGGTGAAAGAGAGTGGAAAAGCTGGCTTAAAACTCAACATTCAAAAAAGTAAGATGATGGCATCCTGTCCCATAACTTCATGGCAAATAGATGGGGAAACAGTGAGAGACTTTAGTTTCTTGGGCTCCAAAATCACTGCAGATGGTGACTGAAGCCACGAAATTAAGAGACACTTGCTCCTTGGAAGAAAAGCTGTGACGAATCTTGACAGCAGAGACATTACTTTGCCACCAGTGACCTGTGTAGTCAAAGGAATGGTTTTTTCCAGTAGTCATGTCATGTGAGAGTTGGATCATAAAGGCTGACCTCCAAAGATTGATGCTTTGGAACAGTGGTGTTGGAAAAGACTTTTGAGAGTCCCTTGGACTGCAAGGGGATCAAACCAGTCAGTCCTAAAGGACATTAATCTTGAATATTCATTAGAAGGACTGATGCTGAAGCTGAAGCTCCAGTACTCTGGCCACCTGATGCAAAGAACTAACTCATTAGAAAAAACCCTGATGCTGGGAAAGATTGAAGGCAGGAGGAGAAGGGGACGACAGAGGACAAGATGGTTGGATTGCATCATTGATTCAGTGGACATGAGTTTGAGCAAACTCCAGGAGATGGTGAAGGACAGGGAAGCCTGACATACTGCAGTCCATGGGGTTGCAAAGAGTTGGACACAACTGAGCAACTGAACAACAGCAACTGCCCGCTCAACAGTGAAGACTGCTGCTATGTCCTGCCTGCTCCCTGCTGCTGTGGTAGAATGTCACTTAAGGGCCTTGCTTCAGATATAAGCTCCCCCATCCATTAAACCATTGTTGACTCCAGACTCTTCTGTCTTGAGGCTGCGTAAGTGGGTAGGGTGCAGACCAAGAGTAATAGGAGAATGTATGGTTTTGTATTTACAAAGAAATTGCTATGCATGCACTATGTAGCATACATAGAAATAATTTCTGTGTAAATATACATAGAAGTGCATTTGACTTTTGTATAGTTACCTGTATCTAACAGCCTTGCTAAATTTGCCTGTTAATTCTTTGGTAAAAAAGAAAAAAATTTTTTTATTATTTTTTGCTCGCACTCTGCGGCTTGCAGGACCTTCCCCAACTAGGGATTAAACCTGTGCCCCTTGTACTAGCAGTGCAGAGTCTTAACCACTGGCTCACCAGGGAAGTTCAACCTATTAATTCTAACTGTTTTTGGTGGGAGTAGATTAGCAGAAAATTTTCAAAGGTAACGATTTCTTAAGACACACAAAGGACTAACTGTGTAATAAAAAATGAACAAATTTGATTTCATCAAGTTTAGAACTTTTGCTCTTTAGAAGACATTGTTAAGGAAAACAAAAAAGCTTCAGACTGGAATAATGTATTTCCCATGTATAAACTGGAGAAGAAAGTGGCAACCCACTCCAGTATTCTTGCCTGAAAAATCCCATGGACAGAAGAGCCTGGTAGGCTACAGTTCATGGGGTCACAAAGAGTCGGACACAACTGAGCGACTTCACTTTCATATATAAACATGACACAGGCTGTGTCCAGAATATATAAAGAATTGGTACCAATCAGGAAAAGGGACACAACACAGCTTTTAAATTATGCAAAGGATCTGAACACTCCTCAGTTGAGTTCAGTCACTCAGTCGTGTCCAACTCTTTGCGACCCCATGGACTGCAGCATACCAGGCTTCCCTGTCCGTCACAAACTCCCGGAGCTTATACAAACTCATATCCATCAAGTCACTGATGCCATCCAACCATCTCATCCTCTGTCGTCCCCTTCTCCTCCCGCCTTCAATCTTTTCCAGCATCAGGGTCTTTTTCAGTGAGTCAGTTCTTCACATCATGTGGCCATAGTATTGGAGTTTCAGCTTCAGCATCAGTCCTTCCAATGAATATTCAGGACTTATTTCCTTTAGGATGGACTGGTTGGATCTCCTTGCTGTCCAGGGGACTCTCAAGAGTCTTCTCCAATACCACATTTCAAAAGCATCAGTTCTTCAGCATTGAGCTTTCTTTATAGTCCACCTCTCACAACCATACATGACTACTGGGAAAACCATAGCTTTGACTAGACGGACCTTTGTTGGCAAAGTAACGTCTCTCCTTTTTAGCATGCTGTCTAGATTGGTCATAGCTTTTCTTCCAAGGAACAATCGTCTTTTAAAATTTAATGGCTGCAGTCACCATCTGCAGTGATTTTGGAGCCCAAAAAAATAAAGTTTCTCACTGTTTCCATTGTTTCCCCATCTATCTGCCAGGAAGTCATGAAACTGGATGCCAAGATCTTAATTTTCTGAATGTTGAATTTTAAGCCACCTTTTTGACTCTCTTCTTTCACTTTCATCCAAAGGCTCTTTAGTTCTTTTTCACTTTCTGCCGTAAGGGTGGTGTCATTTATGTATCTGAAGTTATTGATATTTCTCCCAGCAGTCTTGATTCCAGCTTCTGCTCATCCAGCCCAGCATTTCACATGATGTACTCTGCATATAAGTTAAATAAGCACGGTGACAATATACAGCCTTGACATACTCCTTTTCCTATTTGGAACGAGTCTGTTGTTCCATGTCCAGTTCTAACTGTTACTTCTTGACCTGCATACAGATTTCTCAGGAGGCAGGTCAGGTGATCTGGTATTCCCATCTGTTTAAGAATTTTCCACAGTTTGTTGTGATCCACACAAAGACTGGCATAGTCAATAATGCAGAAGTAGATGTTTTTCTGGAACTCTGTTGCTTTCTCGATGATCCAGCAGATATTGGCAATTTGATCTCTGGTTTCTCTGCCTTTTCTAAATTCAGCTTGAACATCTGGAAGTTCATGGTTTATGTACTGTTGAAGCCTGTCTTGGAGAATTTTGAGCATTACTTTGCTAGTGTTTGTGATGAGTGCAGTTGTGCGGTAGTTTGAGCATTCTGAAAAGAATATAATCAGATGGTCACTAGCACATGGAGAGACGTCCCACACCATCGTGTCATCAGCAGAAGCAGTTTTTCCTTTTATTTGGCTGCATGTGTTCAGTCATGTCCAACTCTTTGTGACCCCGTGGACAGTAGCCTGCCAGGCTCCTCTGTCCATGGGATTCTCAGGCCAGAATACTGGAGCGGGTTGCCACTTCCTATTCCAATGGATCTTCCCAACCCAGGGATCAAACCCAAGTCTCTGTGTCTCCTGCATTGGCAAACGGATTCTTTACCCCTGCGCCACCTGGGAAGCCCTTACTTGGCTGCACCAAGTCTTAGTTGTGGCACTTCAGATCTTTAGTTGCAGCATATGGACTCCTAGTTGAGGCATGCAGGATCTAGTTCCCTGAACAGGGATCAAACCCAGGCCCTCTGCATTGGGAATGGGGATTCTTAGCCACTGGACCACCAAGGAAGCCCTGGTTTTCTGTACCTTGACACTTTCTCCTTTTTCCTTATTTAGGCCTGTCACCTGTTTTATTTGTTATCTTTACTCCCATGGCAGTCAGTGAATTATTCTATTTTGATCCTTCTCACTTTTTAAAGATGTATTATTTCCAGCTTTTTGAGAACATAAAGTACTTAAACCTGTTCTTCTCTTGTGTCTACCTTTTTTAAAATTAGCTCTTTGATTTACAGTTTAATGTATTTCATAACACCACCAGTTCTTTTGGTGACATTTTCGTTGTATCTTGTGATCTGATGATGCTCATCTCCTGGTCAGGTCCCGAGGAAGGGCCCACGAGTGCAGTTCCTGCATTAGCATTGTGGTTCTGTAGTCCAGGGGCTTAAAGATGACCTGGCTGGACACTGCATCCCTGGCTCATGCTTTCCTTGAATTTTGTGAAAATATTATGCCACAGTTTCTGTTGAAAAAGTCTACTGCCACCCTTACTTCTCTTGTTAGATACTGGAGTTTTAAAAATCAAAGGCCTACAGGATTTTTTGAAATAATTAAAGCCTAGTAGTTCGTTGTATTGTGATGTGTCTGTGGTGACCATACCAGCTCACCTTCCCCAGGATTTGTTTCCAGAAAGTTTCACTGGACATGAATTTTGTTTTTTTTTTTTTTACTGTGCCACGTGTCTGTTGCAGCACATGGACTCGGTAGTTTCGGCGCTCAGGGTTAGTTGCTCAGTGGCATGTGGGATCATGGTTCCCCAGTCAGGGTTCACACGCACGTCCCCTGTGGATTGGAAGGCAGGTTCTTTACCACTGGACCAGCAGGGAAGTCCTTGTACATGGATTTTCAGTGTTAGTCTGTTAATTATTTGACTTTTCTTCTGTAGGAACTTCATTTCTGTGTTTCTTAGACCTTTGCTTATCTCCTTGGACACTTTCTGGTTCTTTGTGGCTCTTGATCCCGTTTTTGTCCTGTTGCTTGCAGGCCACCTGTGCTGAAGGGGCAGTCTACACACTCACGGTGCCCTGGCTGCAGCTGCTCTCCAGAGTCAGCGTGTTTCCCAGCAACCCCACCAGTCTCCTCTGCTCACCTGACCGGCAGTGGGTGTTCGTGTCAACCCCGAACTCAGACTTGAGCCCGGAGGTCAGTGGCAGGCTATGTCCCTTGCCTCAGGGGGCTGGCTTTGTGCACAAGCGTGGTGGGTCCTGTTCCCTAGGCTTTTGGGGTGCATCTGGGGCGGGCAGCTTCTCATGTAGGACCAAACTGCACAGCCTGCATGGGTGATGATGAGTCATCTCTGACCTTTCATAGCAGTGTGCCTTCTCAGGGCCACCGGCTTAGCTGATGGCCATGGTGGCCTTGCCCAGGAGCCTCTGTTCTTTACACGCTCCGGTGTTGCCCACAGGCTGGAGGGGGTCAGCTACCTGACTGTAGATGACAGAATTCAGTTTTGAAAAGGTTTGGGACGTCGTGGTGGAAATGCTTATGAGGTATTGGTGGCCTGAGAACAGGCTTCAACAGAGTAAGGAAGACAGTGGGCCAGCATGGAGGAGATGCTGACAGCGTAGGGACTGTATCCATTACCTGGAGGCCCATACACAGCTTGCCTGTGAGAATGGCTGCCTCTGCCAGTGATTCATGGGCTCAGAGATGCTCAGGCTGCGTGCCAAGGTCTGAATTGGAAAAGTGTGTGTGTGTATGTGTACGCACACATGAGCGCAGGTACGCCCATAAACTTTGTCATTCATTTGTGTCCAACTGTGACTGCTGGGCTCCTCTGTTCATGAGATTTCCCAGGCAAGAATACTGGAGTGGGTTGTCATTTCCTGCCCTAGAGGATTTACCCAACCCAGGGATCAAACCTGCATATTCTGTGTCTCCTACCTTGGCAGGCGGGTTTTTTACCACTGAGCCACCCGGAAAGCCTGAATTGGAAAATTAGACTGGAGTAAAAAGCAGGCAGCTGGAGAGGGTCTTGAGACATTCTGGGGTCGGTGAGCAAGGAAGGACAGAAAAAGAGAAGCAGTGGCCAAGCTGGACAGAACTGGCAGTCCCGGGACCTGGGAGTCAGGGGAGGCCAGGGGTCGGGGAGGGCAGCCAAAGGAGAGAGGCCATAGGATCGGTGGGCAGCCTCACATCAGTTCCAGGGACCAAGAAGGGGTTTGGAGCCAGACTGCAAGAAGATACGAAAGGAGTATGGAGGAAGACATTGAAGGCAGAAGCAAGATGATGACAGGCGCTCAGGAAAAGAAAATCCATTTATTTGATTCACCCATTATGCTGACCTCACTGGGACTGGTCTGCCAAGATCTTTCCAGCAGGGCCAGACATGGGGCGGGGTTAACCTCTTTTCCCTGGTAAGGGTGTTTGAGAAAGGCAGGTCCACATGAGGCACCCTGTGAGACCCAGTACAGTCACCGTGGATGTGGTCTAGTGGGGGCTTTCGGAGTGCTCCTGGCTGGAGAAGTCTCCCTCACCGGCGATGAGACGTGCGGCGCTGTTTCCCCAGGTGTTCTACACTCAGTCCTTGCTGTGCCAGTCGGAAGAAGAGACTCCTACCTCTGCCACTCTCCCCATCTGGCTGACATCCAGAGCCTGCTGGGCCCCCGACGAGGCAGCCAGGCTGATGGTGATGCACAGAAATGACAACGGCATGCAGTTGGTCATCACCACCTATGAGCTAGGGACCAAGAAGTCCAGGGATAGAGCGGACATTCTCGGTAAGGATCCCCATGTCACCACCACTACCTTACAATGCTTCAAGCACAGATTCCTCATGTTTCCTTTGGGGCACTTTTTCTTTCCTCTCAGTGAATCATAGTGACCCCACAAATGTTTTCTAGTTGTGATTTTGTGGGCTGGTGGAGTGGTTGAACACTTGCTGTGTGTGGGGGCCCTCTGCATGGCCGTGGGATTCAGATGTTAACTGCTGTCCACTCTTCTCCCTTCTCTTCATCCCCACCTCTCCTTTTACAACTGTGTCAGAGTCACCACTCTCAGCACTGAGTGCGTACAGAGATGAGTAAAAGCCACAACTGTCTCTTCCCTAAGGAGCTCCTAGTCCAGTAGGAAAATAAGACCCACATCTTTGTCCTTTCCTGTCTCCTCTGTTTTCCAAACCCCACATCAGCCCGATAGGCCTTTTCTTTGTGCCTTAGCATTTTTTCCTTTTTATTATATTCATTTGTTTTCCTGTCATCATTTGACCATAAATTTTACTCTGAGCTTCCTGGCAGCCGAGGAAAAAAAGGGAAACAGGATGTGTAATATAATCCCTTGTCTGATACGAGAAAACGCATGAGCTCTTCAGAAGAGGTAATTTTATTTTCCTGGTGCTAACTAAACTCCATAAGGAAATGATCAAATTAAATTTTTTTTAACAAGGAATGCTGTACAGTATAAAAGAATCTTCAACATTAGTTTTCAGCAGATGTCATAAATGTCATAGTTCTCATGTGGTCATGTCTTGCATCGCCCTGTCTTAGATGGGGAAGGGTAGAGAGCAGGGTGGAAGCCTCACCCCTGGATAGTACCATGGGTCGATACTGTCACTCCCATGTTCATATGGCCTTGAACCTCACAGTCCCCCTGTAAAGCAGCACAATCCACGTTTGAGAGCTGATGACCAGTAGACTAGGGGAGTAAATGCATGGGTCAGGATTGACTGCAGATGTGACACAAAGCTGTTGCTCTTTTCATTATTCCACATCCTCGTAGGTGAGGCATGTCTATTCCAGACCCCCAGCTGCTACTAAGACGTGACAATCTCTGTGCCTTTATTTCAAAAAGCACAACAGATTGCGAGCTTCCTGCTGCCAGACACCATGATGCCTCCTCACCTCATGAAGAGCCACGGCTCCCAGGTGATCCTGCTGGTGTCCGGCTCGGAGCTGGTGCTCTTCACCATTCACGGCCTGCAGCTGGTGGCCTTTCAGGACCACCAGAGGCCCATCACGTCCATGTGGGTGGTGAGTGTGGCCCCTTGCCTGCCTGCTGCCAGCCTCGTGGCTCCATGCCTTGGAGCCCGCATCCCTGCCTCACTTGGTTTTTTGTTTCAAGGACCAGACTCGAGTCATCACCTCTTCTTTCGACCTCTCCCTGCGAGTCTACATGTGGAACAAGGAAAATAAATTTCCCGTCCTCAAGAGCTGCTATCATTTGCTGGGTGGGTCTCACAGATGCGCCAGGTAATTGTTTCTGACTTTTTAAATGTTACCTACAAATTGGCCTCTCCTGGCCCCTTAGCAGGAGGATACTATTGGCAAGAATGTGAATGGGACTTGGGGTCTTAGCCCAGCCTGCCTCTCCCTATATGGGGACCTGAGGCAAGTTACTGTTCATATTTAGCCTCTGTTTTTAAAAAAAGATGCTACACTATGCATCATTTGCATTATCTCCTTTAATATACAAAGCCACCACCTGCAGTTAGCATCACCCACATTTCCCAGATGAAGTCAGCGATGTGGGTTTTCCCAAAGGCCCACCGGGGTGCACAGTGAAGCCAGGGTCAGCCTGGATGCAGCCCTTAGCCTACCGCTGTAACCTGCACAACGCCAGGTCCGTTTACCAAACCTAGGTGGCTGTAGGGGCAAGACTGTAAAAGTTGGAGAGAATGTGATTTTTGTGCTGTGGTTTACAATTAGAATTGGGGATGCAGTGCTTAGTCGCTCAGCCGTGTCTGACTCTGCAACCCCATGGACTGTAGCCCACCAGGCTCCTCTGTCCCTGGGGATTCTCCAGGCAAGAATACTGGAGTGGGTTACCATGCCCGCCTCCAGCGGATCTTTCAACCCAGGGATCAAACCCAGGTCTCCCGCATTGCAGGTGAATTCTTCACTGCCTGAGCCACCAGGGAAGCCCAAGAATACTGGAGTGGGCGGCCTGTCCCTTCCCCAGGGGACCTTCCCGACCCAGGAGTGGAACGGGGGTCTCCTGCATTGCAGGTGGATTCTTCACCAGCTGACCTACCAGGGGAGCCCCTGCAAAGTAAGGACAGGGCTTCCAGATTGTTTCACTGGGTTACTTATGGTAACACCTCCTACTTCATAACCATCAGTTACTTGTCATGAGTTATGGGATTAATTCAGCCTCCTGTGGCAAACATCTTACTGTATTAATAAAAAAAAAAAATACAATGCCCCAAACTAAATATTTTTACAATTAAAGATTCCTATAACAAACCTGCTTCCCTAGTAGCTCAGATGGTAAAGCTTCTGCCTGCAATGCAGGAGACCCTGGTTTGATCCCTGGGTCAGGAAGATCCCCTGGAGAAGGAAATGGCAACCTACTCCAGTATAACAAACCTACCTAGTTGCTGAGTTTGAGAGCCATAACATTCCATCTCCACACTGCAGGCCATGAGGGGCTGTATATTTCCTACTAAAGACCCTAATATGTTGCTTTCTACCCTCCCCTGTGCTCAGGAGAGGTGGCCTTGCTCTGTTCTGTCTGTACCTAGGCCGCAGGCCAGCCTTAGTGAGGCAAGCCCCTCAGGCCAGTGGAGGCCCTGATGACATGCCCCACATCCACTCATGACCCCTCAGTAATGATTTTTTCCCTCCAGTGGCAGGAGACATATGTGCGAACAAACACTTGTTGCCACTGGAAGGAGGCCCCTGAAGAGCTTGCCAGCGATGTTGGTCTCCCAAGATGTGCCTTTTTTTCTTTCCTTTTTTATATGTGCCTTTGAAAAATTCCCTATATCACTACTGAATGGTTACAACATCTTTTCACTGAAATAACACTGTTGTCAACTTAGTAAGCAAGTAGCATTTCTAGAAACTTCTTTTTTACACGTTTTTAAACACTGCTCTACATGCATCACACAAAGCAGAACACTTTCATTCACTGAAATATTAATTTTGCACAATTAGAAACTTCTTATTTTTTTAATTACTATTTATTTACTTACCTCTGTGCTGGGTTTTCATTGCTGCATGCAGGCTTTTTCCAGTTGCAGTGGCTTCTCGTTGCAGAGCCCAGGCTCTAGAGCATGGGCTTAGTAGTTGTGGCACACGGGCTTTGTTGCCCTGTGGCCTGTTGGGTCTTCCTGGACCAGGGATCAAACATGTGTCCCCTACATTGTTGGCAGGCATATTCTTAACCACTGAGCCCCCAGGGAAGTTCCAGAAACTGCTGTTTTATATGTGTTTTTAAACTGTGCTATTCTGAGGCTTCCCTGGTGGCTCAGCTGGTGAAGAGTTCACCTGCAGTGCAGGAGACCCAGATTTGATCCCTGGATCAGGAAGATTCCCTGGAGAAGGGAATGGCTATTCTTGCCTGGAGGATTCCATGGATAGAGGACCCTGGCGGGCTACAGTCCATGAGGTCGCAAGAGTCAGAGACAACTGAGTGACTAACACACCCATTTTATAGGATGGTAAACACATCCATTCACTGAAATGACACTGTTCTCAATGAGCATAGCACACTTAGAAACATAAATGTGCTTTAATCAGAACCCTGGAATGTATTTCAGCCTTGAATTCTGCTCTTTCCCAATTCATAACAGATTCTTCAGAAATCCTTAGTTGATGCAAGTGGTAAATTCTCTTTGAGGGCTTCACTTGGCAATCATAAACCCAGCAACCTAGCTTTATGCTGATCCCCACAAGATGGGCAGCTATGGACTGCATTTCATCTATCTTTTCATTACTTTTTAGGAGCTTTTCAGTTTCCTAAAATGTTATGATCTGTGAATACATACTCTGATTTTCCAAAGAAAACAGGTGTGTTAAACATAAATTTAGTAGCAAACCTATCAGCATACCCCTAGGAGAAATAAAACATGTCTACAAAGACTTGTACTTGAATGCTCTTAGCTGATTTATTCAGAACACCCTAAAAGTGCAAACAGTGCAGATGCCCATCAACTGGTAAATGGATAAATCCACTATGGTGCATCCATCCAGGGGAGTTTTATTCAGCCGTAAAGAGGAATGGCATATGACATACATGTAGGTGAACTGCCAACATATTGTGCTGGTGAAAGAAGCCAAATTGTAAGGTCACGTATTGAATGATTCCTTTAATGTGGTACATATAGAAAAGGCAAGTCTATAGGAACAGAAGGTTAATTACTGCTGCCCAGGGTTGGGGGTAAGATGGGATTTACTGCAGATGGCTGCAACAGATCTTTTTGGGCCAATGGAAATGTTTTTAAAACTGGGTTTTAGTGATAGTTACAGAGTTCTGCAAATTTACTAAAGATGAGTTGAGGGGTTGGGGGAAGATGAAGAGAAAGTCTGTAAAGAGAAAAAGAAAGAAGATAGATGCTAGTTCAACCTTATTTGCTAACAAACCAAGGAGACTGCTGACTGACTGCTTGTATCAGGGAGCAGTTGTTGCCCTGCTCAGCCCCACCGTAGACCACCCAGTCCTGCAATTTTCCAACCCAATCCTTCAGTTTTCTGACACAGTCTGCAAACTGCCACATTCCACTCTTGTTATTAATCTCTTTTTTTGGTGGTTGCTTGCACAAGATGTGTTTTTTTAATTAATTTATTTTAATTGGAGGCTAATTACTTTATAGTATTGTAGTGGTTTATTAATCTCTTAAGCTGAGTAAGTCATCATGGGATTTACTCTAAGCTGAAAGGTAGTTCATGAAAGCCAAAGCTAGTTTCAGAAGCAATCTATAGACAAAAAGTGGGCTTCTGTGGGAAACTCAGGCAGTTCTGTGTGTGTTTGTTGGTTTGTTTGTTGGTTTGGTTCTCTGCGCACTTGCTCCGTTTTTCTGTGGTGCCGCAGAGCAGCGTTGTGTGTTTGTGGAAACTGAAGGCCCCATTGGCTCCTGCCGTTATATCTCCTTCACTGAGACTGGTTAGGAATTGATAGTAATTCTAAATTTTGGAGAAATGACTCTGACCTGCCCAGATTGGATGAGGTACCCCCCACTCCTGTATCAGGAGAAGTTTCCAGAGTAGCTGGAAACATTGTGATTCAGACAGCTACCATCAGGAGAACCTCCAACTGATCACACTCAAGAATGGGAAGATTTTTGCTACTTGATACAAATGAACATAGGTCCTCAAGTCAAAGCCTCAAGTCAAAGCCCAGTATACTCACAGATGGGGTGGACTGGGTGGAAAGCGTACAAGATTGAGCTCCATCTTCGTGTAAAAGCTTTATGACTTAAACATTTGTCCTTTTCCAAAGTTAACATGTAGCATGTCCCTTCCTTCACAGTGGATTTACTCACGTGGAGAGTGACGGTATGACCATTGTAGGCGTGGAAACCAGAAACATCGGAACTAGTATTCTGAGGTCATATTACTTCCAAGTGCAGTGTGGCTAAGATGACAGCATCAGCTGAAGATTGTCACCACAGTTGGTGAGGTGCTTGTCTACATACAGAGACTAAAGTAATTATTGCATCAACATCAGAAAAAGAAGTAATGATTTTCAAATACCTATTGTGGGCCACACAAGTATGTGAGGTGACTTTATTTTTAAATCCTCACCAGAAGCCAGTGAAGTGTAGATATTACTGTCTGTATTTTTCAAAGAAGTTGAGATGTAACAGAAGAGTAGTTAACCCACTGTTAGCCCATTTTTCAGCTATCAAACTGTCCAAGGTTATTTGGATAGTAAGTAGCCAAGAGGAGTGAATGCAGACCCTGGGTGCTAGAAAACCCAGGTGTAAAGTACTCAGATTGTAACATAGCTGTTTTTTGTTTTCCAGATATGTAATTAATGAATAAATATTTTTTTCATCTTCCTAGTCTGTGTTACTTGCTTTGCTGCTGCTAAGTCACTTCAGTCGTGTCTGACCCTGTGGGACCCCATAGACGGCAGCCCACCAGGCTCCCCCATCCCTGGGAGTCTCCAGGCAAGAGCACTGGAGTGGGCAGCCATTGCCCCCTCCAGTGCATGAAAGTGAAGAGTGAAAGTGAAGTCGCTCAGCCATGTCCGACTCTTCACGACCCCATGGACTGCAGCCCACCAGGCTCCTCCACCCATGGGATTTTCCAGGCAAGAGCACTGGAGTGGGGTGCCATTGCCTTCTCTACACATTAGATGCACATTAATAAATAGCTCTGGCCGTCCTACAGATGAGTTCTGCGGCACAGCATTGCATGACTGCAGGGCACCGTTCTGTGCCTGGTGAAAATGATGCCTCTGGAGTTGGTCCACATGGAAGCCCTGACTGGGTTAGCGGGTCTATCCTTAGAGTTCTTAATTGCAGCCAACAGGAGCAGCAGGCTGGATCACTAAATTCACCAAAAAATGAGTTTATTAGAAAGAGGGTAGCGTAGAGGGGCAGTGTGCAGGCTTGAGAAGTAGGCCTGGCACCATGGGAAGCTGGCAGCAGGTGACAACCAGGGCCGGCTCCAGCAAGGCCTAGCTCCCCGGCTCTGCTGCTCACGTTCCTATTTCCCCTCCAGCTCCACCACACTGCTGCCACCATGCTCCCATCACTGTCACTGAACAGGCATCACTGCCATTATCTGAAAACTTCCCATCTGCCCCTAAGGAAGTGTGACCCTTGAGACTCAGTGGAGTGTGCGTATGGGATTTACTGGCCTGGGTCACATGCCCACACCATCAAGTTCAGGATGGGAGAGTCTGGCCCATTCAGCTTTAATAGTAGGTACTCACAACCAAGATTCATACAGTGAAAAACTCCTCAAAAATAGAAAGTAAACATTAAAAAGCTCCCTTCTACATTCTGCTGCTGTAGCTGCCCGGTACCCAATATACCCTACTGCCTATATTTGCCTTTTAACAATAGTTTTTTGGCCTAACACAGCACCTATATACTATGTAGCCAAGCCCACATGTAGTTGTTTCACCCAGAGGAGAAAATCTAAGGTTTTTCTCTCGTTTAATCTTAAGGTTTATTTTGGAGTTATTTTAAATCTACAGAACATTTGCAGAGATAGTACAGAGGGTTCCCATATGCCCTTTACCCAGCTTCCCTAATGCATAACTGTACACTTAAAAACCCAAGGTCTTTGTTAGCTGTGGGAACCGGTTTCAAGTGAGAACTCTTAGGGGTGTGAATCTCTGTCTTAGTTCAATCACAATTTTGCTTGATGTTCCAAAACTCATGAACTAAGTACTAATGCATTGTACATGCAGCAGTGGGGAAAGGGGAAGGAGATGAGAAATTAGCTGAAATATACATACATACATATGATACAGCAGGAAAGGAAACAGCTGTTCAGAGATGAACGGAAAACTTCAGATAAGTTGAGATATAGGAAGGTTTTCTGAAGACACAGGGAAAGGGGTTGGGGTGTCAGCAAGAGATTGGAGATCAGACATGGGAACTCCTGAGTGTGTGGACCCACCTAAGAAACTTGGACACGTGATGGCTGGGAAAGCAGTTCTGGTCATTCCTAGGGGAGGCCAGCTAATCAGGTCCAGGCACTCTGTCCTCAGCTGCCACATTAGGTATCATGTCTGGGAATGGCAGCCCTACCCAAGGTCAAATGCAGTTCTAGGGGTCCCTGCTTTGCGTGTGTGTAGGAGGTTTGTAAGACAGTCTATGGGGACATAGGGAGCTCTGGGGATTTCTGTGAGTCTTGACAAGGGTAGGTCCTGAGTCTCGCAGATGGGCTTTTGTCAGGAAAACATGGTCTGCTGGGGTGTGGTGCCATGGCCCCAGGAATAGGCACTTCATATGTCATGCTCTAAAGTCCTCTAAGTCCAAGTCCTGAAGGCTTGATTTACAAGGTGCAATGGGCACTGTTCTAGTCAAGGAGCGTAAGGACCTAAGTGGTCCTCCTTGAGTCTTGCAGAAGCATGCAGATCCTGTGAGACCTTCCATTAACTCCTGGTGTAGGCATATGTATTCTGTATTAATTTTTTTAAAATGTCCCTAGTCATTGGCTACAGGTCAAGTCTTAACAGACTGCAAAATACTGACTGCTAACCGTGTATTCTTGGCTATAGTCACACTGTCAGTCATAAAGTTCTCTAGTCACTGGCTACAAGTCAAGTCTTAAACTGCAAAATACTAATTGCTAACCATGTATTTTCGCTGTAGTCACACTATTGGTCATCGTTCAGAGCACACACTATATCTTGTATTGGAAGATTGTATCCAAACCTCACTAAGTATTGTCTCCCCAGCCAGCACCTTAGCTGAGCCTTCAGTAGGCCATCCCATATTGTATCAGGCCAGTTACTTCTGGATGATGGATACATGACAAGATCAACGCATCGCACAGTCATGAGCTCATCGTCACCCCTCTGGTGTAAAATGGGTCCTTCGTTCTGAGGCACTGTTGTGCAGGATGTCTGGATAAGCCATTCAGCAAGTTTGGGAGATGATGCTGACAGAGCTGTGGGCAGTTATGACAAAGTAGGCAAGAATATACAATGGAGAAAAGACAGTGTCTTCAATAATTGGTGTTGGGTAAACTGGACAGTTTCATGCCAAAGAAACAACTACTTTCCCACATCACTAAAAACCTCAAAATGGATTAAAGCTTAAGTCTAAGACTTGAAAACATAAAACTTCTAGAAAAGCATAGTACCTTCTTTGACATTGGTCTTAGCAATATTTTTTTTAATATGTGTCATTAGGCAAGAGAAAAGCAAAAACAAACAGGACTACATCAAAGCAAAAAGCTTTTGTACCGCAAAGGAAACTCAGCAAAATGGAAAAACAGCATGCTGAATGGGAGAAGGTATTTATTTGCAAATAATAAACAGATAAGGGGTTAATATCCAAAATATACAAAGAACTCATAGAACTCAACACCAAAAGGACTAACAATCCCACCAAGGATCTGAATAGACATTTTTCCAAAAATATGGATACATACGACTAAGACACATGAAAAGATGCTCAACATATAAAAGCTCCCATTACTAAACATCAAGGGAATGCAACTAAAAATCAGAATGAGATAACACCTCACACATGTCAGAGTAGCTATTACAAAAAGATAAGAAATAACAAGTGTTGGTGAGGATACAGAGAAAACCCTTGTGCACTGTTGGTGGTACAAATTGGTTCAAGCATTATGGAAAACAGTATGGAGTTTCCTTAAAAGTAGAACTACCATAAGATCTAGCAATTCCACTTTGCATATTTTTTCCAAAGGGAAAAAAAAAACACTGATTAGAAAAGATGTATGCACCCCTATGTTATTGCAGCATTAACAATGGGCAACATATGGAAACCACCTGAATGTCCAGCAATAGATGAATGGATCAAGATGTGGTATATTATACGTAGTGGAATATTAGCCATAAAAAGAAAAATCTTTTGGGAGTTCAGTGTGACAGCATGAAAGGTCCTAGAGGTGATTGCACTAAGTGAAATAAGTCAGAAAGAAAAATGAAGTGATTTTAACTTATACGTGGAATCTAAAAAACAGCAAATGAAAAAAGGAAAACAATAGATACAGAGAAGAAATAGTGATTGCCATAAGGGAGGGAGTGGTAGGTTGAATGCAATAGGTGGAGAGTAAGAGGTACAGACTTCCAGTTACAATATAAATGAGTCATGAGGATGAAATATACAACATGTGGAATATACTCAGTAATACTGTAATATCTTTGTATGGTGACAAATAACTAGACTTACCATAGGAAACATTTTGTAGAAATATTGAATCACTATGTTGTGCCCCTGGAATTAACATAGTATTATAGGTCAATTATGCTTCAGTTAAATAAAAGAAAAAAAGATAGTTCTTTGAAAAGATCAATAGAATTGATAAGCCTTTAGCCAAGTTAACTGAAAGAAAATACAAATTAGTAAGATCCAAAATAAAAGAGGGACATTACTACAGATCCCGTGGATATTAGAAGGATAATCAGGAAATACTATGAACAACCATATGTCCACAAAATTTGGTAACCTAGATTACATTGAGCAATTCCTTGAAAAATGCGTCTGCCAAAACTTACACAAGAAGAAAAAGACTGAATAGGCCTGTATCTAATAAATTGAATCAATAATTAAAAACCTTTCAGAACAGCAGCAGGCCCATATAGGTTCACTGGTGAATTAAAACATTTAAGGAAGAATTTATGCCAATTCTCTACAATCTCTTCCAGAATATAAGATGCAGAAGGGAACCTCCTAACTCTATATGAGGCCAGCATTATTCTAAAACCAAAACCAGATTGTCTTTAATAGACAAGTCTCTCTCATGAATACAAATGCAAAAGTTCTCAACAAAATATTAGTGAATCAAAACCGAAATGTATGTAAAGAATTTACTCCAGGTATGCAAGTTTGGTTTACCATCTGGAAATCCATTAATCTACCACATCAACAGGCTAACAAAGAAAAATCACATGACTATATCAATAGATAAAAAGTATTTGACA